AACAATTACACTCAATCTATGATCTGAATGTCGAGAAGAAATGTCAGGTGGCCGTAAGGGACACATCGCTCGGAATCGATCCGCGGTCCGACTCGCTACATTATTCGAGACCGCGGGATTTGTCGCGCAACGGCGATTTGCGCGGATTTTTTGTTTATTTGTTTGTTTATCATCACAGACGGAAAAAGAGTTCATTTACGCCGTCGTACGGCGCGTTCGATCGGATCCCTCTGTCTTATCTCGCTCACTCGCTCTCTCGTTTTTCTATACTGTCCCAACTATAATCGGTTACACGGAGTCCTCTCGATACTCGATCGTCTCAAATGCGTGCCGATCATACTCCGGAAATAATTAGAAGAAGAACGTAGCCACACGGTTAACTTGGTAAAATTAGATCTGTGTATTGAGTATTCTTTGATTCCGTGTTACGCAATTTCTCTTCTTCTCAGAGACGTCCCTGTATGAACTGAACTTTCATGATTCTCCCTTAATGATGCAGACTTTCTCGCAGGCTTTCTTCGGCGGAATGTCGTAAAGAATTTTATTAATTACTCAAACATACATAATAATCAAAAACGAAAAACGAGGGATAGTCGCACAAGCGTCTCCCGCAAAGTAACCAATCATCAATCAATCAGTGGGACTGAAGATCTCAACAGTAATTCGAACTGCGGCTAACGCGCGAGTCGGTTCCTTAAACTATGATTAAACACGTGCTCAGCACTCTTGCAACGCGCACATACGTAACAATATAACAGCACTCTCGTCGGACGCTAGGAAAGCAACGTACTGTCACGCCTATGGCGATCGTTAACCGCTTACTTGTACAATATCAACTGAGATTCACATCCTCACGCGCCCCCTCCATAGAAGAATATCGCAACATCGTCGTCGTTAAATTATACAGCGAACGATCATTGTCAACCGTTAAATTATGTTATAGACACGAGCGCGCTGCTCTCTTTCGTCCTTAGTCTTCGTTAATCCCGGCGAAAGAGAGTAAGCGGGGCAAGAGACGCGAGGAATCGAAACAATGAGACGCGAGAAGAACAAAGGAAGAGAGAAGAATCGTGCGAAAAGGAAAGTCGATCGCTACTCATTCGTGCGCACACTCTCCTCCGCGCAAAATTATCCCGCCAACAGTTCGCACGATTCGCATGTTACATCGCCTCCGCATGTGTATATGTATAATATATATGACAACATCCGGTGTATGTGTGTGCACAAGCGTACGACGATCTTATTCCGTGAAAACACGAACGCGGCACGTGCGTCAGTACTTTCTTCTTTCTTTATTATTCTTATCATTATTAGTATTAATTTTTTTGTAAGATTCTCTTGGTTACTCTAGATATGATACTTTCGTGTGTGTGAGACAGCACGAGGACTACACTGCTCGAATGGAAGTTGAGAAGAGTCAAGTGTATGTATATGTGTGTACGTGTGTGTGTGTGTGTGTGTCCCCTTGAAACGCGCGTTCCTCGCGAGGAAAACCTCGCTCCGAATCCGAGGCATGACTATGTACGTTCTAAGCGCGAATCGACGATAATTTGCTCAACGGCAGGTAGTAGATTCAAATTCCATCCGCGTTAACCGGTGCGTCCGCTCGGCCGAACGGTTCATTGTGGCGTCTGAGCTCATTTTTACGACACCGAATTCTCGATCGGGTGACGTTATCGACGAAACTCGTCACCCACGTCGGTCATATCAATTATGTTAAATGTGTGTGATTAGAGATCATGCCACCTCGCGAGTCGGTGTATATGCATGCGTTTACAGTTCGTCAATGCTACGTAAACTAACGTCTATTATTATTGAGCGCTCCTGGTTTTGGTCCCACGAAATTGCACAATCGCCTCTAGAGTACCGGATCGGGTCGTTTCTCGCTGACGAAGCGCGGGGAAAACAATTTCGAGGAGAGAGTATCGACACATATGATGGTGGATCTACGACGGGGAGACTAGCGAGAGAGGAAGAAGTGCACCGCGCGGCGTCGCGCCTCGCGGGTGCAGCGGCGGCGGCGGCGGTGACGACGACGACGACGACGACGACGTTGCGCACCTTTGGCAAAGATTTGTCTGCGAACTTGTTTTTCATCGGAATAATTCGTGCCGCGAATGCAGAGTCAGGGACGACGACGTATCTAGGTACTGGAAGTCGAGACATGTTAAGAACGCGACGCGGAGATTCGTCTGGCGGGAGGATTCGGATTTCACCCTCGTGAATTTTTTATCTCTACGTTATCCCGGAGATGAAAAATATCCCTTATTGTACGCGGTGATCGCGCTCGAGTCTCTAGAAAAACGCGCGACCCCTCGGCAGGCACGCGCGCGCCCTAAGTTTACTTATTTACCGTATTACTTTCGATTTGTCGTCTTCTCCTCGTCGTCTACATAGCTATCCAAAGGTGTGCGAGCGCGATTGTACACGGATTAATAAAACGCGTCGATTGTACGGCTGTACACTCGAGTTCCTCCTTGCCTCCCGCCGTTCGAATTCTCGCTGGCTACAACTATCGTAAACTCTGTCCATCTCGTTTATCTACTCGTTAAATTGTATATATAAATCGTATCAAAATCAAGCGAAAAGTAAATTCGGGCCGATTGGACGATGACTTACGCGTGAGAGAGAACACGACTATTGTGTCCGCGCGCGCGTTCACGATCACACGTCGAATCGCAGGCGACAGTGAACGACGCAAAGCTACAATGCTTCCACATTTGTGAGCTTCCGCTCTCTTGAAAAAACGCTCGCACTTATCCGTCTCTCTAGCGAAAAGCTTTACATTCCACTTAACGAGCCTAAGATGTATACATACGCAGGTATGTGTGTACATGTATGTATGTATACAATATATACAACAAAAGTAACTCCTTTGTTTAACAGCCTCTATCGTGACATCAGGACCAGTATTAACTATCTCGATTAGGATGCTTGGCAAGAAACCGTCGAGGCCAAGGTAGAGGCCAGTCATATTGTCGTGGCACTGTGCCGCCCACATTTTTCTCGAAATACTTGAAGATTCGAAACCACCAGAGCCGGGCCAAAAAGTTGTTTGGTCCATATTGCTGCAAAAGTATCGTCAATTTTCAGAGACAGCAAAAACAGCACGATACAGAAGCACGCATCCATCAACATCGATTGTTCGCGCACGTCTCGTTAACAGTGCGTGTAGAAAAAAATCCGTTACAAACATACATTTGAGATACTGCTTCGTGATTCAAACGTAATCGTTAATATTATTATCGAGATGAGCGAGATTATAACGAGAGAGAACTCGAGGAAGAAAGTAGCAGTCGCCGCGAGAGCGGAGAGGAGAGAGATTTGAACGAGAAAGTAGAGCGTACCTTAAGATGCGGGTTGTTGGCTAGCGTGTGATAAATATACCACAAGCGTGTAGTAACGTAGTAAGCTATAAGTACATCCACGGTGTAGTGACCGTGAGCTACCAGGACCATAATTACCCCGACGAGCACCGTGAGACCCGCTAACCAGTGGATCGGTTGACACCTTCTCGGGGAGTCTGAAATGCGTGAGACACGGACGTGAGAGACGACACACGGACGTACGTCGCGGCCGCGAGAGCTTCTCTTCTCGTGACTGCGTATTTATCTCGAAGCGAACGAGACGAGGTACAGAGAGAGAAAGAGGAACACACGTACATTCCTTGATGATCAGGTAACTGAGCACGAGCACTACTGTGTGCCCGCTGTAGATATAATCCCCGCAGTAGGTGTGTCTGCCGTTAATGGACAGGCCGAAGCCGGAGATGAGCTGCAGGACCCTCTTCGTCACGAGCAACGGGCTGGTGTTGTTCGCCTTCGGGCTGCAGTAGTAAGTCTTGCTGGCGATCGGCATGACCGTCACGTACATCGTGATACTCCGCATCATGTACAGCAGCCCCATCAGCAGGAATACTCGCCTAACTACTATAAATCTGAAGACAGAAATTGCACAATCGTAGCACACTATCGAGCCGCACTTCGCATCGCTCGGACCTATGCGCCGCGCGACCCATGCACGTACCTATGCCTGTGGAAAATGATGAAGACCATCGCAGAGTTCGACATGATCATGATGAGAACCTCCGAGACGGTAAGTGCCCAATCCTGTGCGGCGACGTTATCCAACACCACGTCCGGCAGCGGTCCGTACGTGCTCCTATCCGGCACGCGCTCGTGCACCATCGCTAACGACGCTGTGGTCAGTATGAAGTTCACGACCATGAAGAGAAACGCTGTAACGGGAAACAACGACTCTGAGAGAAAGAGAGAGAGAGAGAGAGAGAGAGAGAGAGAGAGAGAGAGAGAGAGAGAGAGAGAGAGAGAGAGAGAGAGAGAGGCAGAAGAGACACCGCGCGTCTCCGCGATCGACATGCAATTTTTCGTACGCTACTTCTTCCGCTCGCATGCTCGAAAATCACCGGCGTTAATTGACTCTGTCATGCAACAACGATTTGCTCCGTAAGCGATAAGCCCTAACGGGACTCGCGAAATCCGTTCCCGTTCGCATTTGCGTGCCCGCGAACAGCCCGCGAGATCTCGCCGCCGCCTCCGTCCACCTGCCTCCGACAGAAGGAAAAGTGGCTATCGCGCGATAAACCGCCTGGCTCTCCGAGGAAAAAAATCGAGAGAGACCGGCTGCGGGTGATGGTGGTCCTCGGCGGGATCTCGGTCCCTCCGAACGTCGCTACCAGTACGAATACCAGGTCACGTAATGACCTCGATCTCGATGGTGCTCCCCGCTTCGGGGGGAGCGAACGGCACGTACGCGCAGCCGAACTGGAGCCCGTAATGCCGGCGAGGCTCTCCTCCTCCTCGGCATCCAGATAGTCGTCGTTGGATTCTCTCGCGGTGTGCTTATTGCGCGAGGGCTATCGCGACGAATCCGATCGCAAACGCCGTAAACTCGATGAGGAGCCCAGCCGATAAGAAGCCCATGGCTGAGAGAGACACCGAGCGACGCGGAGAGAGAGAGAGAGAGAGAGAGGGGAGAGCCGCGGTTGTTGGATAACGTTTATCGGACTCGCGCGTCATCTCGCGGTCGTAACGGGATTGCAAAATCGTGCGCGAGTGCGAGATCAACGCGGCAAACAACGGTGCCTTCGGTAAGAAGAGACGAGGCAAGAAAACAAGCAAACATCGCCAAGCGCAGATTAACCGAGGAGGCGCTGCCATTAGACAATAATGCGGGCAAAAGTAGGACGAGCAGTGTGCGCGAGCGTCGAGAGTGCGTGTGCACTCTCTCGCCTTGTTTAGCGCTCGGTCAGGAGGAACATACCGCGAGAGAGGGACGCGCGCGCGCGTGCGCGAGGACGTTCATGGAACAATGACAACATCCGCAGGAGAATGACGCGCGCGCGAATTCGACGGCGACCTCCTCCTCTCTCTCTCTCTCTCTCCTTGGCCATCGGCTCTCTCCCGACCCGAGAATTCTCCGTCTCTCGTCATCGACAGCCCCCTTCCCTCCCCCTCGCCGCTGCTCCAAGCGCCGGCGGCTCTCCCTGGGGGAGCCATTTCCGTCGGCGATAAATTCGCCCTTGTTCTCACCGAGAAATGTTTTCCATTTTTCCTTGGGGAAACGCGGCTCCTCGCGCAGCGGCGCCGGGATGTCGAGCTTAACGACGCCGCCGCCGTTGCCGCTGCTGCCGACGCCGCTGCCGGAGCCGTTCGGTATCCCGGGATGCCGGCCGAGGGTCTCGATCTTCTCGTCCTCGTCGTCCTCGTAGTAGTCCGAGCCCGAGGCCACCCCGGACCACTTGTCCTTGCTCTTGGAGGGAACGCCGGGCAACAACGGCTGCCGCTGGTAAACATCGCTGGACTGTGCCATGCCGCTGCTGCTTCCATCAACCGCCGCCTCGACGTCCCTCTCGTGGCCCTCCCCGGCGCCCAATGGCCGATCGAAACTTCCGTAATCACTGTGCAAACTGGTGGCCTTGGGATCCAATACCATCCTGCGGGCACAAAGCAAGCGAGGTCCTGATCGCGCACCGATAACAATCCGTAGACTGCACTCTCCTTAATACTAAGAGACCCATTCGAGAGATTCGTTAGACGACTCTCCTCCTCCCTCACGCTACCACCTCACCGCCGCTTCCTTTCGGAAATGGAGTGCGCCGGAAGAGCCCGCGCGGAGAAGAGGCTCCGGAAGAGCCGAGGAAGCCGAAGAAGCTGACCTTGGCGCAAGACGAGCGCGCGGAAGAAACGAGATCGAGTCGAATGCAAATTCGCAGGCTAAAGAGAAACTACATTTCTCTCTTCTTCTCCATCTTTTTACGCTGCCCCCCGCGCAGAATGGAAATGGTCTCACCCCGGCGACATTGTCCGTTCCGAGCGAACGAACGCGAACGCGAGCGCGAGGCTCGCCGTAATCCCGTAATCGATCGATCAAACGGAAAAATGAGCGCCGCCGTACCTTTTTTTTTTGTCTCTATTTTAATAGCTCGGCTCACTTGATTAGCCGAAGAGAGCGGAGGAGCTGAAACGCCGATCGCGCGCGCTCGCGTCGATGATCGTCGCAGCGAGTTAAGTTGATATTACACGTGACACAGTTTGCGAACGGCGCCCATCGCGTCACGCCCCGTAAAGCGCGATATTTTTAGACATTTATTGCCGCGTAAAAGGAAAGGTTATCGCGGCGAGCGGGATGACGGAAAGGCGCGAATTCTAAATCCGAGCCGACAAGGAAAGCCCGGTGGACGAACGGAAGGCGGTGTCGACGTAGCGCGTTATCTTTCACGGCGGAATTAGCGGAAGCGAAGACGACGGAGGCCGATGCGCGACGATAATAGCGCGGTAGCGCGAACACTCTTGGCAACTTGGCGGAAACGTCGTCGGCAGGATGCCGACCACTACAACTGTTATTTACCGGGGACGCTCGCGTTCGCGAAGAAGCTGCCGATCGGGGAGCTGCCGAGAGGAGCGAACCGCGACGAGACGCGAGACTCGAGAGAAGCACACGTCGACGGGTCTTCTCTCTCGCGCACAGTCACGGGCTAGAATTCCAGAAAAGTGTCAAAAAATACATTTTTCGACTGTTTCTGGATTTAAACAAATACATGTCATTAATATAATTTAATCATCGAATATCGTTAATTTTATTACGATTATAGAATTCCAATTATAAAAATAGTAATAATAATTTGTAATTATAATAATAACTATTATTATTATTATGCTTGCAAGTTTGCTTTTGAATATAATGAGCGGCAGTAATCTTCTGAAAGAAATATAATATAGTTTAAGGATAAGAATTTTACATGGCTTAAAGAGATTGTCATAACTCTTGTACTACCAGTTGTTAGTGTGAGTCGTATTCGAAGTGTTAAAAAAATTTGTTGTTTTCATTATATATATATATATATGTGTGTGTGTGTGTGTGTGTATGTATCGATAATTTGTCTCAGTATTCGTATTTAATATTATGACTTGTCGATAAATAGTCCTAGTTTTCAAATTTCAATATTTTGATTTTTCGGGACATTGCGTGTCTACCAACATTGCAATAATTATTTTGTTCTAGCTGTCGTGAAAGCAGATAAAAGCAGACGATCTTTTCTGGATATTAAAGTACGAAGCATCAGTTATAAAACCGATTAGTCCAATCGACGAGTCACGACGACGAGTACGTTTTAAAAAATCGATATGCTCTGAAAGATAGCATTGATATTTTCGTGCAAGCGAGCTAAGTTTTGATGCGTTATTATATGGTAACAAAATTATTTTTTTATAATTTATTATATACTATTAGAAAGAGGAAAAGTCATAGAATTTCTTTATATAATAACGATTATTATTCATGTCTATTTTATAGCTTGTTTTATTCGATAAAAATATCATTTGTATCAGTTAAATATGACAATCGATGGCATTTGTTAAAGACGTCAACTTTGTGAATATCTCGCGACCTTAATATATGTCTAAGAGGAAAATCATTTTACATTTCATCAGTTTGACATTAATATTATCAAATAGACATGTACTTGTTTAAATCCAGAAACAGTCGGAAAATGTATTTTTTGACACTTCTCCGGAATTCTGGCCCACTGTGTCGCGGTGAGGGAAATATCGCGCCGGAAAAAAAGAGGAAGAGAAAGAAAGAAAGAGAGAAGTCGTTTCTCATTTTCTCACGTAGCACCCCCTCCCCCCTCTCTCTTCCTCCATCTCTCTATCTCTGGCTGGTGTGCGACTCACCCCTTTACCTGCGCCTCATAGCGGCGCCTTATCGCCCGGCATTTTCGCTCGACGTCGCCGCGTTACGTCTAATCGCGCTTTGTGATCTGACCCTCTCTTTTCCTTTCTCCCGTCGATCGAGCACGACTGGAAACGCGACTTGTCGTCTTGGCCACGACGCGGTGCATTCTGACGGGACGCACCGGCGCATACGGCGCACCGGGCGAGATATAACGCGATGCTCCTTCGATTAGCGAGCGCTACATACCGGCGCTTTATGTCAGGATGATGTGTGCGTCCAGCCGCGCATGAATATTTAATATCAAGGAGCCGTACTTAACGCGCCACGCTGTTTCGTGGGAAAGCCGACGGCTGCTCGACACGCGCTCGCTCGCCGCGGCTCAGCTCCGTGCCGGGCATCTCCGCGTCTGTCCGGCACGGCGACTCACTCGCACGTTTCGCGTTAAGGCTAGGCGTTGGCCACGTTTATCGAACGAGTTACGGCCGGGCGATATGGAAAATGGTAGTTTGCGCCCGTCAGGAGCCCGTCGTCGTCGGCCCGCCGACGCGGGAGATCGCGTCGGTCAACAACACGAGGCGACGACGTTCCGGGCGCAGCAACGGCATCGAGAGGCTTCTTCCTTCCATAAGAAAATGGTATGCGATTAACCGCGAGTGAACCCGAATGAAACTTTAATCGATACAAAGCCGCGATGGATGGCGCTGATACATACGCGCCTCCTCCTCCTCCTCCTCCTCCCCCTCCTCTGCTTCTTTCGCGAATATTCCCGAGCCGAAGGGAAATCGACTCGGAATTGACCGTTGCGGAATCTGCCGTTGCGAAATAACACGGTGGAAAATAGGACATCCTGTGTATCTATATGCGCGATCCTCTTTACGGACCGGCGTAAAAATGCGAGTTAGCGGGGGGCGATCCGCGGTTACGCCGGACGACCTTTCGCGCGAAGTCGGGAAACGAATTCCCGCGGCGGATATTGCTTTTATGAGGTCAAAAGGCGGGATCGTCGGAATGCGAGCACCCGCTCGCTCGGTGCCGCGATAAGCCGCGAAATGGAAGTCAGAGAGAGAAAGAGAGAGAGAGAGCTTTCTCGTCCTCGACGGTGACCCTTTCGACCCGGCGCCGACGATCTCTCGTGGGCGACGACGACGGCAGAACGCGGAGAAGAGCGATTCTGGGACGTGTCGCAATTAATCCGGATACCGTGAGATACCGCGTCGGAGAGTTCTCGTCTCACGAGAGATTCGCCTTCACGAGCGCGGCGGCGAGCAGGAGGCGATCCTCGCGCGCAGGAACTGCTCGTCAAAAAGATCAGTCGGCTGATTAACCTTTATTTACGCGCGCAATAAAGGCTGTCCCTTGGACATACTTCGAGGGAGAAGCGCCGGAAACCGGCCACTGGGAACTCCGCTGCGCGTCTGATCGAGCCGAGAGAGAGAGAGAGAGAGAGAGAGAGAGAGAGAGAGAGAGTTCCTCTCGCGGCTCCGCGGGACGATTCCGCGCGGATCTTCCACGAGACGAAAAGTCGCCGTGCGACGCGGAGTTAACTTCGGCGAAACCCCGCGCCCCGTGACGTTTCAATTGAATTTCTGCTGCATCTAATCCGCGACACCGGAGAGAGGAGGAGGGGGGGCGCGCGACACTTAAAAAAGCCCGGAGGACGTGTGCGACTACGCGCTTCATTTGCATAACGATGCGGGTTGTAATGGATAATTCGATGGAGCAAGCCGACCTATGTGTCCCACTTGCCGCGCGACAGCGCCTCTGCTTTATTCTAATTAATTCTCCAAGCTCATTAGCGACGCACGCAAGCCGGGGCGTTTCATCACGCGTAAGCGCTCAGACTGGAAACTTACGTCAAAAGCCGCCGGGGGCCGGGCCGGATGGCGCGCGTTTCGGTCGCGTTTCAATTACGCGGGACGCGTGTTTCCCGGGACGTTATTTATTCCGAACAACCGTATCTCCATCGCGCTCGTCTCTCCCGACGTGAAATATTATTATCACGAGCGCGCGCTACTCGCGCGACAGCGTGTAGGGAACGCGAGCGCCGTCTCGTCGCGACGATATCACGTTCTTTGAAAGCGGATTATTTACTTATTCAGAGTTAGACACTCTTATTGAGCTGAGGCCTCGAGTGTCTGAGAGACACGGCATCGAGTACTTTTGCAACAGGTGAACATTTTCGCACAACTACGCCCGACGGAAGAAGACGCGCGCGGCCGCCACTATGTGGCGGTTCATAATCCATTAGCGCGCGCAAGTAAGACGAAAGTTTGCCGGGCGTTACTTAGTTTCGTTATCGTTAGTTACTTGGTTACGTAGTAGTCGATAGCAATAAGTCAAATTGCAGTTGTATGCGCGCGTGGCGCGCGCGAGACGGTAAGTGCCTTCGACTTTGAAGCAGACACGGCTTGTCCGCTTGAGACACAACTTCGCATCGCGCGTGTTAGAAATTGCAGTGTTTACGCAGTCGATAATGACGCGTGCATGAGCTGCCACACTTGGGGAATATCGTCTTATAAATATACAGGGTGTCTTAAAAATATCCGGAACCCCCGGATAACTTTGCAGGATCGAGTTTTCGTGAAAAACTTTACAAAAAATAAAAAAGTTGTAGGAAATCGAGTAACGGACCCTGATTGATGGTGACCCTGAATTTGATCTTAGCCATGACCTTCAGAGTCATTTGGAGGTCAACATGCGTCTTTTTAACGGGAACTTTTATTTTTTATTACACTGTTTTTTTTTCCACCAATTAATTCG